AGGAATGATCCAAGCTGACAAGTGATTTGCAGTAACCGTGTTTGGTTTAGCTCCTGGTTCAGCGTCAGACCATAGACTCCAGGCTGTGGGAACGCTTACTGAAACTAAACTGTTTCGGTTCTGCTTCACTAGTATCGTGGAGGACTATACCAAGATGGCTTGAATTATCAAATTTATATTTGTTTACAGCTATATGAAAACCCATTGAACCATTTGGCTTCAATTTTCCATCTCAAAAGCCTATCTATGTGCAATAAATAGCAACAACACTCAATAATGAACACAGTCTTCACCTATTACGGCCTGTTCTGGTTTTAATTTTGGAACCTTCTCCGAACTGCACATTTAAGTGTAAGATCAAGGCAAAATGCAACACAATGAATTTAGCAATTATGAACTAACAAGCAAGTCAGTATTTCAAAGCATCAGTAAACTTTTTGTAGTTTAATACAACTTAAACGTAGTCCCTATAGCATACGGGGAATTATTTTTCCCATGCTTCAGTTAGTCACACGACACTGGAAAAGTCCTTCAGTATGATCAACTTTTCATAAGCAAGAGGTCTGACTTGTCCAAAACCATCTTCATGAAAGCACAGAATTCAAACTGTTGAGTTTCTCTCTCCCCAAGCTTTCATTACTCTAGTTACATGCTATGAAAATACTTGCAAGCGAAAGAGGGAGTACCACTGGACTAGACTTATGGAAAAGGTAAGTAAAGAACAGGGCTGTACTTGGTTATCAGTGCCTTCAATCGGAGACAAAATGGCACCTCATATGTCAGAAACAACTGCCCGATGGTGAAAGACATTTTGGTTACAAAGATGGTTTACAACACTTCCACTAACTTCTGGAAGTCTTTAACAGTAAGTAGAGGAATAATATTTTTGATGCTTTCATCTCCCCAAACAGTTTCAATTACGCATAAGGCTTGACAGAGCTCTCATAGCTAAGACATCAGCAGCAACATGAAGCTTCATACAGTGGGAAATCACTGAGAGCAATGGCATTATTTTAAGGCAGAAGTGCAGGTGAAGTATTAGCATATCAGGAATCCTAACTTGCAGGTAAAACTCCATTCCTTTACATACTTTGTAAGTAGGTTATAGTCAGCACTATGACCAAAAAAACCCCAAACATGCAGTGGTGAGCTTTTACATTTTGACATCTAAAGTACACCACTTGCATCCCTATTTTATGCTGTTCAAACACAAATCAAAGAGTTTCCAGTGGCTCAAACTGTCACAGCGCTGCTGTCCAACTGCCTGCACGGTAGCATGTGGTTGCAGGGGCAGGCTGACAGTAGGAGAACCTGGAGTGACATTCCAAGGGACGACCAAATCTCCTTGGCTTCTCCAGTCCCCTTCCATCCCTCCCTCCAAGCGAGAGAAAGGCATGACTCTTCCCAAGCCATAATACCTCACCTATTAGCAGGCTATTACTCCTCCACCGTGGTTATGTACATCCAATTAGAAGGCTGTGTGCATTTGCTGGGAATGAAAACAGTAGTTGCTTTATTTTCTGGACTGGTTTAAAGCACTGGACCAGGGCTCCAAAATTACACACGCCTCCCAGTAAGAACCAGGTAACTCAAACACCTTATTCTGTGTCCTGAATACTAATATGTGGCTTCACTAACAGAAAGACTAACATACTGAAATGCATACTGCCTGCCTTCCAGTACTACAGAAATCTATGCACACACAAAAAAATTAGCTGTGCAGAATTAAAATTTTTGTTTGAGAATGAGTATGTGATCACAGGTCACTCTCATATGGAGGAATGGAAGAAAATAATTACAGAAATCACTTTGTGCTGTTTAGCTTGCACCTGCAACCTGATTTCTAGATTTGCTGCAGAAATGGGGATTCTCCATGTCACAAACCACTTTAGTACATTGAAACACCTTGTAAAGAATCAATTTCTAATTCCGCAGAAGCTTCCAAGTTCCAGCCAAGATACACCAGTATTGGCGAACAGCGGTCTGCAACCATTCTGAAATAAATACAAAAGTAATGTTTAGCTTAACGTGCTCTGCAAATAATCTCACAAAAATATAATGCTTGAGACAGGAGTTTTCCCTCTCTTTCTGCTGTCTTCTGTTTGGGAGAGGATCAGGGAATTCCCTTAGAAGCCATGCTTCCTACTGGGTTACTGCATTACCACTGAAAACTTACAGTTTACATTTACCAGTGAAAAAAAAATTATCAAAATCTCAACTCCTGCCAGGTTGCAAGGATCTTATAATTGGTGTTTTATACAGGGCAATTTTTTCTTTTATTTCTGGGCTGTAGAAGAGTTTCCTGCTTTCCCACTCCAAATGCCCGTGCATGACACAATTCACTGCTCACAAGCTATTGATTATTCTGGGAATAATACACATACTCATACATTTTGGACAGACAGCCTGCTTCTCTCCATCAACACACACGTGACATAGGACACAGTGCTACACCATCACTTCTCTTGTTCCAAGTGTTTAATGGGCCCGCTACACTGGTGTGTCTTCCTGCCCAACAATCCAAACACAGCCAGCAACTGGTCAAGAATTAGCTGCACTTATGTCACTACCACAGGAAGCAAAGAGGTCATTCGGATTTGGACATTTTTGAGACTCAGCTTGCAAAATGCCTGAATAACCCAGTCTGAATTCAGCGCTGACCCAGTTACAGGCAAGGGAGGCTGGACTAGGTGACCTCCAGAAGTCCTCTTCATCGTGGATTTAGCTAGTCTGTCTGCAGTCTGGAGAAATCCTGACAGCAAACAACTGCACAGCTACCGAGTTATTTATCTCCGCTGCTGGAATTACATCAAGGCACAAGTTTAATACCAAAGTAGTCAAGTGACTTAACTGGAAGAAACAGTTATTCCCTACAGGAAGGCTTCAGCTAAAACCCGTAACTGGGTTTGGTTTACAAACTGCTGCTTGGTCTCAGTAAGTCTATGCACAGTTTTACTTCAAAAACTTTAAAAACAGGTGGAGTAAGCAGCAGTGGATAGGGTTTTACCTGAAAAGTGTGGTCACATAATACAGCGAGGCTTTAGTAGCAATATCAGTAACTCCTACTTTTCGCCATCCTTGCTTCTCCCACTCACACTCCCATCCTCCGATTTGCATCTGTACCATGTTTACGAAGGAGCAAGGAACCACGTTTAAGAATTCCCTTGGCAAGAGATAGGGAAGTTAATCTGACAGAGTTTAATGCATCAAATCCCACTTTGTAGCACCAAAACATTGTATAAGCAAAATGAAGGGTAAGATGCGCTAGGAAAGGTGGACATCAGCAGCAGGGCTGGGGAGAGAGCATGAAAAAAATGTTCTTCTCATGGGCAGCATTAAAGCTCCAATCTCATCAGATCATAGAAGGAGTTTGAAAAGTTGAGGTACTGCTTCATACTTCTGCCTTCAGCAGCCTTTTTCCAACAGGAAAAATTTTGAACATATTCTACTGACTACAGTAATTTCAACATACGATGAGTTAAGGAGTGACAGCCAGCTTTAAAGAAACTTAGGGAATAAAGGTTTTTAATTTCAACAGCAAATGACTTGTGCTTCTGAATCTATTTGGTTTTTTTTGTTTTTTTTTTAATGAAGGGAAGACTTTAGTCATATAACCCAGCCATGCTCACATTTATTTCTAGTGACGGTACCATAAATCCACTCTGGATTAAAAATCTAAAGGAGAAATATACATCTGTCTCTATATCCATCTCAGTTCTTCTAAGACCATAATTACAGATAGGAAAGCTCTAAACTGGTATTTAGAGGGGTGATGAGTCTTCCAAAAAATTGGTGGCTTACAGGTAGGTACCTGGTTCACTGAGAAAATCCCTCACGTTAGCAAGGATCACATCAGAGAATAGCCTATATCCATTTTGAGGGATTAATTCCATAAAGGACTACAGATTCAGATTTTTATCACACCTCACCACCTGTGTATAATTAAGAGGAGTATTTTGGACTGTTTTACAATCTTAGATTGAGTGTGTTAAAAAAAGAACAGGTTTTACTGGGTATAGCTGGGTGTGCGCACTTTCCAAATTACAGTGTATTGTAGTGCAGTCATTTATAGCCAGGCTACCTTTGCCATTAGCTATATTGCCACACTTGGTTTAAAAAAAGCCTATAACCTACATGAGCATTTCTGAATTCCCACAGGACAATTACAGAATGTAGTTTCCAGTCACAAGATTTAAACAGCAGCCTACAGACCAGTTTTGAGACTCACTCCCCCCCGTCCTTGGAAATGATGCTGTGAAAAGCCGGAGTCGAAGACTCCGTAGTCGGAAGGCTATTAAGCAGGTATTCTTCACTACGGCACCAGGGTATCAGTATTAATCAGTCTGAGCTTAATTAGCAGCTCAAGCAGTAGTCTCTCCTTCAATTATGTTCTCCCCTTTCTAGAAACTATAGAGCTGTACCAAAACTAGGTTGAACAAAATATGCTATGTCCTGAAATAAGGGTTCATTCTCGTTGGGACAGCATGCAGTTGCTTATTGTAAATGCTTTGTACCTGAGCTCTGTACTTTCTCCTCTTCGCTTTTACATCTTTTGAGTAATTTTAGTTGTAATTCCGCAACGTACTGTTATATAACCAAACTATAAATAATAATGTTTAAATATTGTTTCTTCCAATAGCAGCACAGCCTCCTAAACACATCCCTCATGAGATAAGATTTTACAGTGCTGGGGTGTAACCTGCTTCTTTGCCCCCCTCCGTAGCAGCAATCTGCAATTCAGAGAGAATCATATTTAACACCAAAAATGCAGCTCTGTACCATTCTAAAGTTCTGGCAGAAAGTACATTAAATATGACATCTTAATTTTAAGAAACTAGTGAAGTGGGGCGGTATTCCAGCGAAAAATTGTCTTACCAGAGCTCGATGACAGAACAGCTCCTTTGTGAGGAGGTGCTTTAACTGTGCAGATGGTTTTATTTTCACATCCTCTCTTCAAGGGCAACACAGATGGCACTGTTTTAACCTTGGGAGCCGATGCACTTCGTAGCGTGACTGTGCCCTGCTTCGGCGTGTTTCTCCCTGGTGTTGTCCCATCTTTCACAGAAGGCATCTGGTTTTAAAGAGGAAAAACAAAATTAAAAGAAAAAAAAAAAACCCAGCACACGCACCAGCACCGTGAGAAGCCCAGCATCCATAATGAAATACTGACTGCACAGCTAAGGGATGTGCTTAGCTGTTTGCCGTCACATTGTCCACATCTGCTGTTCAGAACCTCAAGAATCATCTCCTGAATGGCCCTCAGCAACACAATACTACTAGTTTGAAGCTAATGACAAACACGCTGAAGAGGTTACAGGGGTCATTTTACACCGCTTCTTCCTCTTCCTCCCCAAACTCTCATTAAGCCACTCACTCACTTGACTGCACCTGATCTCTAGATGAATTCTTTACCAAGCAACGACACAAGCTCCTACACCAAGAAGTTACTTGTCCTGCACAACCTGAAACGTCACAGCCCTCTCATAGCTTTCCTGGTCGAGGTGTTATGTTACCACACAGAAACAGGTTACAAGTCTTTCACGTTCAAGTGCCAGATAAAACACACACAGGAGTGGACCAGGACAGATGTAAAATAACTAGCTCATATGTAGCACTCCTCTACTTTTCAGATAGAATTCTTGCTCTGGTTTATGCAGGCAGCGATTTGGTCATATTCATGCACTTTCCATTACTGACTCCAATCCTCATCTTAATTTTCAGAAACTAATCTGTACTTTTCAGAAGAGCACTTGCTAAGTTTGGTCCAGCTGACAGCTTTACTGCATATTTTATAGCAATGACTCTATGGCTTTTCCAGGTAGCAGCAGAACAAGTTATTATCACAAAGGTTCCCATCTTGGAGACAGGGTGAATTAAAAGCATTCTCTCCAACCCTTGGCACCAAAAGGAAGAAGTGAAGCAGAACCTAAGCTCTGAAAGCCTTTAGGATTAAAGCAGACCATCCCTGCTTTCATGTTAATTTAGGTTTTCAATTTAATTTATTTATTACAGTAAATAAACAGTATTATTTATTAATTTCTTCTGTAACATTTCAAAAATGGATAGCTGCTTCTGTTTTACCTGAAGTAGCTTCCTCCATATACTGAGCTTTACGGGCGTTTTTCTGGCAAATCAGTAAAGCCTGACAAAAATCCAGACAACACCAGTTTTACCGGTCCCAGCTGCTGCCTCCACTCCACCGACTTCAGACAAGCTGTGGAACCCACACGTGAACAACAGGCAGGACTCCACAGAGCATCGAGACTCCAATTCCACGTCCCTACCACACCTCCCCAGATCTCAGGCGACCCAACCCCGAGGCTCTTCCTTTCCCCCCCCCGCCCTGTTCCTTTTCTTCTGAACTTCTTTGTGAGTGTTTGAAAGCAGCACGTTTCTCCTGACAGGCAGCTGACTCGTCCGACAGTATTTCCCGACCAGGCGGCGCACGCATACCTCCCGGCCAGGAAGTTTGCACCTTCCCGCTGGCCGACTGCCCAAAGCCAGGTGTATGCCCTCCGCATGAGGAATATTTCCCGGCTACTCTTCGCTATTCTAATGAGTCCCCGTTCTACTTCGACTAAACAAACTCCCAAATTAGTCAAAGCAGACAGTTCAATTAAGGTGTTAAAAATAATACGCTTGACCAACTTGGTCTTCGGGGTTTGTGTGACTTAATATTATTGTTAATACACGTATAATTTCTAAGTAAATTTTTAAAAGTGTAATTCAGTTCTAAAGCATGCTTTGAAAGAAAATACTGCAAACAGCAGTTTATCACTAATGTCTATTTAAAGTTACAGTACCACTAGAATTATCTTGATAAAAGCGCATATTAAAAGCGGTATTTAGAAAAGCCTCACCAAGTTCTGCTATGCAATTTTACTAGTTTGACTGAATTCAGGCTTGTTTGCTTTTATTAGAAACCTTACCAACCGCATTGTCTTAAAAAGACCTCACCAAAAATTTTTTTATACGATGGAAAAAGATAAAGCCTGAAGACACTAAATCATGCTCGAGGTCATGTGCAATCAGTTTGCAAAACGGCATCTCTCTGCTCCCTTTATTAGGGAGAGATTTCACCTGGGAAATCAACACTACCGTTACATTTGTATCCACAGCTTCCATTCTGCACTGTGCAATGCAGAATTCCTTTCTTCCAAAAGTATAAAATGTATAATTAAGTATGCAAAGAAAAAAATCTTACCAAAGGAGCAGAGCGCAGGTCAAACGTCTCATTTGCCACATCTTTTGACAAGGCTGCTTCCAGAAGAATTCCCATGTTGCTGTTCTGCTCTTTTTCACCTCCAGGCGGACAGATGTTTTGAGCGCAGGGCTGCATTAAGGAGTTTGAACTTTCCATTTTATCGTTCAGCATCTCCTCCGAGCTTTCGGCGCCCGTTGGAAGCACAGCAGGAACCGAGGAGCACGCCGAGTGGGTAGAGCTTGCTCTGCCAGCGTCTTCTGGATCCTGCTTCGACGCGGGTGTCTTTGAAGCCTTGTGGGAAGCGCTCCTGGGATGCGTTGTGGCACGTATGACCGGGCTCGCGAAGAGCTGTTTGCTGAGATGCAGCTTATGGGGCTTCTTCACAGGCGATTCCACTTTAGTATCCTTTCCTAGATCTATTTTCTTTTTCAGCAGTTTCACAGAGGGGGACAATTGCCTTGGGTAAGCAGCCAGCGAAGACGAGGAGCCAGCCAGTAGCTGGGGAGACTGGGGAGACTGTTTTAAGGCTGCGCTGTCTCTTGACTGTAGCACGGGCCTAGACATAACCTTTGGCTTAACATTTTTGAAATTAGGTTTGGGAAAACTAACAATCTCCGACTTCTTCGCTTTGGTTATTGTTGACACAGTAGGAGACCTGGCCGCTGGTTTTCCGGCAGTTTGACCTGAACTAGCTTTAAGCAAAGGCCTTCTGTTGTGCCCTCCTACAAATGCCTCGTTTCGTCTTAGTTTAGGAGACTTGCCGCCAAGTTCTGTCAAAGTCGAAACACAGAAAGTTGTATTTTTCGATTGTTCTTTAGGGGTTGAAGTACACAGAGCAGAATCTCTTTCATCAGCCATAGGACTGAAGACCACAAAAGTTGCTTCACATTTCAGGTCGGGCATAACAGTCCTCTTTAATTTTGGTACACTGCAAGGTATGAAAGGGGCGTTGTGCATATCCTGAGGAGCAGCATTTCCAGAGCTACTTTGTTCTTTGGTTAAGGGTTCACCGCTTTCCTTTGATACTTGTTCTCCATCCATTTTATTTACTGGGAGAAGGTGCACGTTATTTACAGGAATATCCATGCATGTTTCAGCATTGAAATTCCCAGTTGCATCAAGGTCAGGGGTATCCTGCAAGGATTTCACTTGGTCGTCTTCATTAATATTAATGTATGGTGATAATGCATCTCGCCTATAAGGATCTATACATCCAGCAGCTAGTTTTACATGCTGTGCTTCTGTTTCCTGTAATGCTTTATCAGTCTCATTAGTGTTTTTAACATAGCGTTTGACACCTCCAGAGGCAGGATGATACACTTCAAGTTCTGAATAGGCATCTGGGCTTTCTGAAGCCATTATCGTATAGGAGAAGTCAGGTCTTCTTTCTGAGCTGGTTCTGTTGAGTTCCTCTCTTGCACATACTTCAGAAGAGACTGGCGTTTCCCTCAGATGCATGTCATCATTTTGATCAGTTCCCAGAGATTCACCTATAACGTGAGTCACATCCAACGGGCTCAGACGGCCTCGTGCCCTGTCCTTTGCCAGGGGCTGCGTGATCTGCTCTGAAGCAGGAAGAGGTAATACACATTTAGAGTCAGCCTGACTGTAAGGCACTGATTGTTTGGTGCTCTGATTTTGCATTTTTGCCGTAGCAACATCACCTTTCAGTAAGTTTGTCGTTTCTTTCAGGTCACAGTTCAAAGGATACACACAAGTCTGCTCAGTCACAGAAGACTTGCATGCAGCATCTGCATCTCCCAGCAGAGCTCCTGCGCAGTTGTATTTACCAGGTGTCTCCTGCAGATTAAGTGCTTCAAGACACTGCTGTTTTAAAAGAATACTTCTGAAGTCACTTCTCGTTTCAAGAACCGTTTCATCTTCGTGCTCAGTCACCATACTTTGGTCAGTTGAACTACAATGTGTCTTGGTGGCACAGCTCTTTGAAGAAGGCGTAGCTCTGCCACACGCGTAGTTATTTCCATTTTCATCCCTTATAAGTAAGGAAGACTTCAAGCCATTCTTTGCTTTGTCATCTGACTTTTCAACATTCATTTTGAAGGCTAAATTTTAAACTATTCTCATTTTATACTTCTTTAAAATCCCAGAGAATGTAGATTCTTCTGAACTTTGCAGGAAAAACAGCTTTTCCCTGGAATGGATCAACTGTCCTGAAATATATTTTAAAAGTATTTCTTTGTTCTTACATTTCCCAAGAGGATTCAAAAGTTCTGGAATTAAAAAGAAATGAAAAACAATTAGCCAAACCAGGATTTTAACACAGTAACCATTCTTAAGCTATTAGTCTTTGAAACAAGTGCAGCAATTTTGACCAACTTCCTTAAGGAAATCAGGCTTTTGCAACAATGCCATCCATGCATGTTTGCCTTCACAAGTCACTTCCACTCCCCTGACTGCTAAGCAATTTCTGAACCCTTTGGTGAGTTGCAATCAAGCATGACTTTAGGGTTGCATTCTCAGACACCTGGCTTGCTTGGCTTCCACACAAGCAAACAACCCAAAAGAATTGGCTCCTCAACATTAAAAGGACGAACCACCATTCTTCCCTCTTCCAGTAGGCACGTACCCAAAATGGTTCCTCACACCGTGCATAGTCCAAGCTATGAAGCTTCTTACTGAGGGTGCTTGGAAGTCAAAAGCTTACAGAGGCTCAAACACAAGCAGGTAAGAGCCATGTGAGAAAAGTCTGTCCAAAACTGAATACCGAACTGACTCCAGAAGCTCTCGGTTACAAGCTGTAAGCAGCCAGGAGAACTCTGTGGAAGAATCGCTACATGCTCATCCTGCTCTTATACTCTTCACTCAGTGTTTAGCCCTGGTTACTGCTAGAGACAGGACACAGTGTCAGCTGGATCTTCAGTCTGACTGTGTCTGGTCACGCGTATGTTCTTATGTACAAGTTTGCAGGAAGACAGGTAATTAAGAGAGATCTAAATTACAATAATGATGAAGTGCTGTGGTATAAACTCAGGACTAGGACACCAGAGCAGCAACATAGGAGAACACTAAGAATCCCAGCGAAGACACTTCAGTGCTCATCTCTTGATGCACGTAACAAAGAGCAGTAACCACCCCAGACAGCAGTTCTCCTCTGCGCTGAAGGCCTTTTTCCTGCCTTTCGAGGAAGCCATGCACAGCAGAGGTAGCTCGAGATCTTCAGAGAGTTGTCTTAAGACATCCGAGCTGAAACAAACAGAAGCTGGGGAGGCTCATGATCAGCTCTGGGGTTACACTGGTACACTTCTCTAGTGCTGCTGGGGTAGCCAACAGGCACATGGGACCCCTTCAGAGTCACTGGAGAGCAATTCCCTACATAGCAACAGCCTCCATCTTCCACAAAGACAACACAAGATTAGCCAAGTGGGGAAAAAAATCCCAGTGTCCTCTCCAGCAGAGCAGAGCCACATATCCCTCACCCAAAACCCTACCGAAGCAGGATGGGGGATGGATAGAGATGGAGTGGAGGGAAAAACAAACAAAAGACTAAACAAGAGCCCTCGAAAGGTATAAGGACAAGTTCCTAGCAAGCACAAAGACTGCACCCAGGTATCAAAACCACAAGGACATGAAAGAAGATCCAAACCACCCAAAGCAGCTGGATGACCTCTGTAGCACAAGTCCCTAAGAAAGGCTCCTAGGACCAGAAATGAGACTAGAGGTAGGAAGAACTTCAGATTTATAAGATACAATTGCAGTGGGGTCGGGGGATCTGACGGGAAGAAGGGTCACTTTCAGAGCAATAAAGTCTAAATGGGAGGGACAGAGTTCACTGGATCCAACAAGGGAATGGCCTGAAGATGCGTTCATTGACAAAGGTCAGCTTCCCAACTGAAGAACAGGGAAACTGGGCAGGTGTTGAACACCATCACGCATCTGGAGTGAGACTTTGCTCTCCAGTCAAAGAGCGGGAAGGAGGAGGACGCTCGACATCAGAAACCACAGACAAATAGGTCAATGGCGTTTAACTAAAATGTAGACACCAGAGGTGGTGTCCTAAGGTGAGAATACTAATAAAATGATATATTTGAAATCTGGGAAGAAAGCAGCAGGACATGAACACCAGGATTAAGGACACAGGATAGACAGAATAATGCACACTAGTATGAGAATTGTATTAAAGTCTGAAATTATTTGACTGTAAGTTAACCACAATGAGTAGCAGAGCCCTTACAGACTAAAAGTCCAGAGCGAACAGAAAAACAGAGAATATCTGATCTGCACTATCAACCGTCTCAACTAGGATGACAATACTGGTTACAATACACTGAGACAGGTCAAGCAGCCTACAAGTTGAGAAAAACATAATAATAATGGGAGATTTCCACTATCCTGATGTTGATTAGGCACACTGAAGAATAATTCCCTGATTATGCTTTTGTACAGGAATCAATGACTGCTTTGAGAAACAAGTTTGCCACAACAAGAGAAGCAACGTTTGATTTGTTCTCTAACTAAAGAAATTTAAATCCTCACGGGAACCATGTAAGCCATTTTGGAAACCACAGCAGGGGAAAGAAAACAAACTCTTATCAACAAATACTTCAGAAAGTATAAAATAAAGCCAGCACAAAGTAGTGAAAAGTAAGTTACTAAAAGCAAGAATGCATCATTCAAAACACTGACTTTTCCTTAAACCTTGTTTTCTTCAGCTGGAGACATAGCTTGAATAACTACATTCAAAATAAATCCTTTTTCATACCAATGAAAAGTATAAAGCTTTCCAGACAGGCTGTAGGGCCTGTAAACAGTTTTGAGCACAAAAGCAGTGCTCAAATTCAGGCCGTTCTAGAACTGCAGGAATTTGCGTGCTCACTGTGGACCAAACACAGAGCAGCTTCTGTCTCAGACCGAGGATAAAAAGACGGCAGAATAAGGAAACAGCAAGCTACCAAGATCAGACAGCACCCTCCTCTGCCCTCTCCCCTTCCTCCCACCCAGATGAAATGGCTTGACATAGCTTAAGATCTCCTGGTTCCTTAAGGCTGGTCTAGATCCTTCCCCTGTGGACTATTATTCAGTCCCCATGGAAGCATGAACAATTTTTGTATCCTTATTTTCATCTTCTATTAGGAAATGTGAGGAAGATTCAAGAGTTATTCCAAAAAATGTCTTCACTGGAGGTCGGGTAAGAACCTGTCCTGAATAATTTTCCATTGGTTTAAGTCAATCACAGAATCAACTGCTGAAAAGTATTTGCAAAGCTTGTTTTTACTGTTGTTTTCACATACTACAACTAGTTTCTGCTTGTCTGGAGACTAGCCCATAACGCAGCTTGCTCACCTTGTCATGCAATCAAAAGTGAAGATTCCATTTTGATTCGGCATTAGCTCAGATCCAGCCAGCAGCCTTTCCCTTTCAAGAGCCCTCTCACTACAGAAAACAGGGAACTACTCCAATATGTCAAGACTTCGCAAGACTGTGATCCCAGGAATGTAAAGAATGACACGTTAGCTTCAAGTATGCATCGCTAATAATGCCAAAATTTGAAACACAGGCACCTATGTAAACCTTGATCCAGTCAATGCTGAAGAAGCTCCAAGAAAAAGAAAAGTAGCTTTGAGATGGAGTAGCCAAACGAGGAAGTGCCTGAAAGTTGCGTATACGAATGTGTACATCTACGTATAGAAGTCTGCTCACTTAGTGCTCTGGACTTTCACTTAACCAGAGAATTTACAGAAATAAACCACTGATTCAACTATTTTTAAAGCAAATTTTCACTTGAGTCATCAGTACTTCCATGAGCAACTAAACCAACTTCAAATATAGCTTCATATCCATGTTTAGAGTCCCAGAAGTGTCCTGCATAAAAAGTGAGGTATTTCTAAGGATTAACTGCAGTGTATAAAAATCTGTTAATATAGATTAACATTAATCCTCAAAAAAAAAAAAAAAATAATCGACATTCTATAACTCTGCAGGTATTAATATGCTCATCAGCTTATGACAAGTCTTCCTGTTGATGAGAAATTCTTCAGATTTCAGACCTGCCATAGGAGGCTAATGAAAAATGAATCTCAGTCAGCATCTCCTCCGTAGAGTGGTCAGGAGCAGATACACAGACACATCACTCGCTCTTCCCGAGAACATTCCTTCCCAAGAATACACTGTTCCTGGCACCTAGCCACTCAGGGAATTCTCTAAACTAAACACCACTAATAAACTTGCTTTATGCATAAACAAGCATTATGTACATCTGGCCTCCGCAACACCCCGCAGCGCAGCGCCGTAGAGCTCAGCCGGTCTGCGCCTTCAGCAAAGCTCAACTTGCCAAATGTCAGTTGTCTACTTTAAGTGCTCACACATCACAAAAAAAAAATTTTAGTTAACAGAGCTCTAAGTTTTCCCCTTCCTAACAGATATAAGAGCTTTGGGTACCAGCAGCATCACTTTGGAAAAAAGGGAAAGGAGCTCGGCGAGCAGCTTCTCCCACAAGCAGAAGCAGTCGGCTGCCCGCCGCCCCCAACCCACTGCACCCCACAGAACCGGGCTCAGAGCAGGGTCCTGGCACTCCTGCTGACCCACGAGGGGTGTCCGGGGGTGGGTCCCTCTGCCCTTTCACAGCACACAGTGACTCGTTCACTGCTGGGTCAACAGGAACAAGAAACAAATCTATTACTACGGAAAATTCAAGCTACAAGTTCACAAATTACTACAAGGCAAGTCACTTTGCATTAGTGTCACAACACAGACAGTAATAATTCACGCTTTTCCTGGTATTCCAGATGGAACTCAGTCCTCCACCCACCCCATCACACGGCATCTACTCCAGCCCACCAGCTACATTTGTGCGGGCCGTACGAAGAGGGCAGGGGATAAATCCGAAAGGCGAGCGCGTGCCCAGCCATGCGGGAACGCAGGCTAGAACTGCCCTCACCAACTGAGCAGGCCTTGATACCCAACCAAATGCACTGTCAGCACCTGTATTTCAGCAGAAAACCATACAGCAAGGTCACGATTACCACAGTCACCAAAGTCAAATGGTTACTTAAGGCATTTCGTATGTCAACGCATTACACTACAACCGGTTTACCTGC